CCCCCCCCCCCCCCCCCCAATACATCCTCTAACTCAAATGATGCTGTGGACGGAATTCCACTTGATTTCATCTCATTCATCCCTCCCCGCAGTATAATATGGTTACTGAGAAACCCTTTCAGGATCAGAAACGATGATGCATATATAAACGATTATATATGTATGTTACCGATCCATTTTCAGAGCTGTAACGCTAAATCCAGGTGCTGCGATGAACCCGCCTGAGCGTTTGAGCCCGGAGGAGAGCTTGGGGAGACGAGTCTAGCATTCAGGTCGGGAGGAAACCTGTGGAATTCTTGCTTGCTGTAAGGCAACGAGCCTTGTTGGGGCCCTGCCACTCTCGGTCTGCCCAACATCTGATTTGGATTGTGGTTAAAGCCATTGAAACCACCGATGAAGCCATTGCTCTCGGGATTGACCACTGGTCCTGATTGCTGAAACTGTGGGGAAGAGGATGATGATGATGGGTTCATGGTATTGGCTGCAGCAGCAAACTCGGTTTCTGGATTCAATGCTCGGGCAGGTCCAGTTTCTTCCCGGCCCTGCAAAGAATGCCTGTTTCCTATGAAAGGGCTTGAGACAGAGGGGGCCGGGGAAAGGATTCTGCTTGAATGACCATCAGGCACCATGTCATTTGAGCATTTCTCCTTTCCCGACATTAATATCTGTCGTTGAGGAGCTTCAGGAGCTGGGTTCTCCCCGACCCATCCAGGGCCAAATCTGATTCCGGGAGGCAAAACACTTTTTATTCTCCTTGATGTGATTTTCCAGGTAACAGGGCCGAGATTTGCGACGTAATGTGTCAAGCTCCTCGCGTACCCGTATTCAGTGTTCAGCCCAACCTGAAATTTAGTAGTCCGAGGAAAACAACAATCAGAAAACATGTATGAATATGGATTTCCAAGTTCAAGAAAAAATGAAATATTAGAATCTACTCTGAGTTTGCCATCCAAAACGTACTGGAATTAATTGCCTCAACTCATCTTCAAGTGTTGTTAAGACAGAAGGCTCCTGCATGGAAGTCGAGAGCTGGTTATAGGTATCACGTCTGTTCACATCGACATTGAAATGTTTCATCCCGTACTTGTTGACAGCCTTCACAACCGAAGCTAAAGGTAATGAAGAAAACCGTATAAGTAGTCATGAGTTCGTATCAGTAAAAGGAAACCAAGAAAAAGTACAGGGCAAGAATTCTTACGTGGAAACTCATTTTCCCAATCAATCGACCATCCACTTTGGTTTTCGCTACTATGATGACCAAATCTGATGGGTGTATCTACCGTCCGGAATCCATATGGAGGTGCTTTTCTTAGATTGTAAGCACCAGATAGCTTAGAGCTATCTCCCACAGTAGTAACCGCCACTTCAGCTGAAATTTCAGAAGCAGTGTGATCAATGGGATATAGGTCAGGCTGTTTCTTCAGGCTCTTGCCCGGAGGATGGTCTCTTTTGGCAACTTTCGGCTGTGGCTGTGGTTGTGATCCTTCATCATCACTATCCTGCCTTAAATTTTCAAAGTCCTTCTTGGCCATCTCATGCATAGTTCGTGCCTACCCAAAGACACTCTTAGAAACATAGAGAACTAGAACAAGGGGAAAAAGTAAAAAATCCATGATGCTGAACAAACCTGTCGGAAGTATATGGTGTCTGGTGCATTGTACTCCATCGCATTTGTACATATTAAAAATACATCCCTCTGCCCAAAAAAAAAGAACAGTGAAAAAAAGCTTCCAGAAGATTTAGTTATTTCCAATTTCCATATCTTGAACAAACTAATAGGAGTTCTAGATGCCAAGTTCAAGCAAATTTCAAGTCTAACAGATCACCAGCAACTACAAGCTCACCACCAACGTGTCAATATAAACTTTCAGTCTGGTTAAAGCTAAAACCTTTTAAATATAAGAAATCTTTGAGACAACACTGACCACACAGCTGATACAGATCTAAATCTTTTCACAGGTTAGCAATATCTAAGGGAGCCTCGAAACTCATCATAAGTCCTAAAGATAACGAGAAAGAGAAGGGGAAACCGACATAGATCAGTGGTTCTCTACATCAACCATAACAAGAATTTCTGCAACAGCCATAGGAACCACAGTATGAAAGATAAATAAAGTGCCAAACAAGATGGCAAGCATTAAAACTTCGAACCTTGCTTTACACATACCACAAACGGAAAAAGAAGCATCAAGTACCGAAATAGACTCAACTACAAGGTATACCTCAAATTGCTCTAAATTGGCATATGCTCCAGAATCTAACTTCTTCCGCACAGTGCTGAAATCCATTGGATTTGCGATAATCTCATGATAATCAGGGAGCTGGAAACAAACCAACCACAGGATTGATAAGATATACTGAATCTGCCAAACTGGGTGACATTAACAAATATCATCCGAAGATATGATCACCTCTCTTGGATCGACTGGATCTGAGAACACCCCGTAAGTATCCTTCCTTCAAGTATTGTAAATGAAAACACACCCAGTTCAACCACTTTATCCAAAATACAAAGGAGAAGACCATTGAGAGGAGACTATAACACAGCCCAAAAATTTGCATACTTTTGAAGTCTATCGAGGATGAACAACAACAACTTTTTGTCTGGCAAAGGTGTAGTGGGGCCAGACTCCATGGGTGGCCCTGTCCACAGATTTAATTTAATCAGTAGAAAAACCCACTTTTTATTCTCGTACGAATTCAAGATTATGCCTTTCTATGAGATTAAAAAGGACAGGAGATAGAAAGATATATACCTGGAGGAATGTCTGTCGCTTTCGAACCCTTTTCACCCTGCAACAGAAACAGAGCATCACCACCAATCCAATATCATATGTAGGCATAAAAAAAAGGGGGAGAATTCTTACAACTAAGAAACAGAGCAATGCATACAGGTGCCAATGTTCATGGTCATGGAAGTATCAGATACGGAGGAGACAGTAAAAGGCCATGAATTACCAAAAATAAAACTAAGAAACTGATAGCAAGGAAAAGACAAATTGAAGCCTTTCTCGGACATGATGGTCTCAGTGCAGGGAGTCTTTAAATCAGGTAACTACGATTTAATACAAGAATCAAAGAATAAAATATAATATTCATGGGAGAAAAAACATAAATACTGCATATAAAAGCAACAAAAAAAAAACTGAAACCCGCCAAGACAAAGATTTTCTCAGACAAGCAAAACAGGAAAAAAATAATGCAGAAAAATCTGAATAACGAATTCTGAGTAAAAAGGGGAGAGAAAAAAATAACTGACCCAGTCAAACTCATTCACTTACTCATCCATATTCAAGCAGAAACCCCCCAAATGACGCGCGAAATCCCCAAAAATTCAAACCTAATTACTCAAACAAACTGAAATCCGCCCAAATTGAACAAACCCCAAATCGATTTCGGGAAAAAGATTCAATTTACGGGGAATTCGATTGCTACCGTATACTCAGATCCGCCGATCTTCCGCCGCTTGACAAACACCCCGGGATTGTCACTTGGCTCGTCGAGATTCAGATCGGAACCGGCCGATTGTGAATTAGGAGAATGCCGATGGGCGTGGGAGTTCAAGCCGTGCAAGGGCCTGTGCTTCTTCTCCCTTCGCTCGTCGTCGTCGTCGTCGTCGTCGTCAACGTCATCTTCATCGATCCAGGGCGAATCGGCGGAGACTCCGTTGGAATTGGAGCTCCTGCGAGTTGATCGGCGGCCCGAATTAGGGTTTTTGAAACCGGATCTGTGCTCCTCCTGTGGTTGTTCATTTCTCTTCCTTCTTTGGAGCTGCTGCTGCAATTGCTGTTGCTTCAGAGCCCGTTTCTGAAGGTCCAACAGAGATGGTCGTCCTTTCTTCTTCTTCTTCGTCATTGTCTCAGCTACTTCATCCATTCTCTCTCTCTCTCTCCTCTCTCTTCCCCTTTCTCCTCCTAAACAGGCTATTAGTATTAGTTTTGTTATTTTTTCCTCTTCTTTTCCATTACTTTAAATTTTTTTTATCACTATGACCAAATTTTCCACGTGTGTGAGTCGCATGAGGCCATGAGCCAAGGGAATGTGGACACGTGTTGAACAGTCAGTGGTTGGGCCTAGTTAACGTTACAAGCTATGATGCTCAACTGGGCAATAAATGGGCCTTCTTGAAAGCCCATTATCGATAACCCAAACACCAAAATGGATCAACTTCGAACTGGGATAACATCCAAGCAATATATTAAAAAAAAAAAGAAATTTCAAACCTAATTCAGCTTCTAGCGCAGACTTCGCCAAATCTACAAGGCCCATAATGTATGTAAATGGGCCTAAATGATCCATAACTTAAACCAGAACTTAACCGCAAAAATTACATGGGTAGGTGAAAATTCTAAAACCGTACCAAACCAGGTCGATAAACAAAAGTGAATTGCAAAAAATGTCAAGTAAAAATGAAAGAAAAAATTGAGATATTTAAAACTCTAGCCGGAAAGATCGATCAGAAACTCGTGACGGATCCAAATAAATATCATTTTTAATTCGTATAAATCTACAAAAATTTCAGTTTTAATTCGAAATTTTAAACCGCAATGTGTAAAATGACTCGAATTTTATACCCGAATTTACGACGAATAAAAATTGATAGAATATTCCGGTTCCACCCGATATGAGATCATACAAAATTAATAAACCGGGAAAAAAATCCGACCGAATATTGCGGAATTTTAAAAAACTATTTATAAGTATATATTATTTATTATTGTTTATTAAATGTTATCTAGGAAAGTGGTACGAGAGGGCAATAGGTCAAATCACTTGTCGCTGATGACACACGTGGAGAAGAAGCACAAGAGAAAACACAGAAACTAGAACGAGGATTTAAGCTTGGGAAAATCACAGCCAATGACGAGATGTCACCCGGATCGATGACGTGGCAAAATATGATCTGAAATCCCGCTAAACCCCTCTGATTTCGTTCCGTACGCTATTGAATTTCAATTTCATTTCCGTTTTTTCCCGATCGGATATTAACCTCCTCAACTTGCCATCTCTTTCCTTGACCTCTCACTTGCTTCGCGTACAAATCGCTTACACGTAGTCCTCTCTCTCTCTCTTCTCCCGAAGCCCTACGTCTTCCGTCAAGGTAAGTTCCGATGATTTCCCGTCGTTTTCCTGTTGGTTTTCCATCTCTGTCTCTCGTTTTGCTATCGGTTTCATCGTTTTCTGGTTTGCATTTTCGCTGTTTCCTCGGTTTCCTCTCGATTTTGCTGTTTTGCATCTTTTTTCGCGATTCATACTGGTTTTACGGTATTGGTAGATTATCCTCTGCAATCGGTGAATTTAATAGCTGGTCTGGTGATTTGATCGCAGGATAGATCATGAAAGGAGGCAAATCAAAGGCTGAAACCAGGAGCTCTAAGTAAGTCTTCGTCTAGATCGGTTTTCAATTTGATATCGAGTTGATTTGTGTAGTTCTCAAGGTACTCAAATCGTGTATCTGTGATTTTTTTGTCGATTCCTGATGTGTTCGTCTTCGAATTTACGGCGATAGGCTCTCTGTGAATAAGAAGCCCACAAAGGGAGGCCGCGGCAAGGGTGCCAAAGATCCGGACAAGCCTAAGAGGCCGGCCAGTGCCTTCTTCGTTTTCATGTAAACATCGCATACGATCCCTCAATTTTGCGTGTTCGGTATTCTGCCTTATTCCATGGAAAACATTTTTTGGAGTATGTTTTCAACTGACTATTAATTCTGTTCAAGGTGAGATTGGAGGCATGTTTTCCTTCACTTCAAAATATCTGTTTGTTGTGACGTTTTACTTTTGCAACTGTTCATAGATTCGTGTTTCTTATGATCGCTTGCTCCTCATTAGCGTGGTTCTCTGTAGTTTGTGTTGTTTTAATTCGTGTGTTGAATTGCTGATTCAAAGGGAGGAGTTCCGTGAACAATTCAAGAAAGATCATCCCAAGAACAAATCCGTTGCTGCTGTAAGTGCTGTGTTACTTTCTGATTTGTGTGGTCAACTTTGATACCTGTCTCTGTCATGCGTGTCTGATCATGTATTTGAATTTGAATTTATATATTGATAATAGGTTGGAAAGGCTGCTGGAAACAAATGGAAGTCGATGTCTGAAGCTGTGAGTGACTAAATAAATGAGTAATGCTTGTCAATACATCATCAAGTTGGGAGACTGTGTGTTTACTGATTTTGGAATCGGTATGTGCAGGAAAAGGCTCCTTATGTTGCCAAAGCTGAGAAACGCAAGCAGGAATATGAGAAGAACATGAAAGCCTACAACACGAAGCAGGTAATCACGGTCGAGCATGTGTTGCTGTGTCAGTGGGTGAGAGTTCTATTGTTGAAGGATGTTTGATTGAGAATGATATGGGTGTATACGTTTAACAGGCTGATGCCACTAAGGAGGAAGAGGAGTCGGACAAGTCAGTGTCGGAGGTTAATGATGAAGATGATGGAGATGAGGGCAGTGAAGAGGTTTGTCAATGTGTTGTTTCGCATTGTGACAGATATTAACCATTGTTTAAATGTAAACGTCTCTTATTTGATATCTGGTTTGTTGTTGATGTTGATGTTGATGTTGATGTAGGAGGAAGATGATGAGTGAGAGGATGATGGATGATCCCATGGTGGTGGTGGTAGCATAGTAAGTATAGTTGGCTGCAAGACTCTCTCGCTGGGGGGCTTTTATCGTTTATGTTATAATGGGAATGACAACAAGGGGGTTGGTTCCTTAGCACTGCTTGTTCTTCTCTCTCTCTCTCTTTTAACTTTCTTGTTCGTATGGGTTTGTTGGATGATTTTAGGGTTTTTGCCCTCACTGCGGGAAAAGGGGAATAGGAGTTGTTGTGTAGATGTGGGGGTAATTTGCAGCTCTGTGTGTACTCTTTGACATTCTGATTTACAATTTAGGCTGTTTCCTTTTTTATTTGTATTGTACGCTGTTTTGATTTGTGTATGTTTCCAAAAGAAGTCGTTCAAATGAAGCCAAGCAAACCGTTATTAAGCCCTGATTTGACTTTTGGAGATTAACAGAGCGGTAGTGACCGAGTTTTAGCTCACACGCTGCCATGGGGTCCCTCATGCATCGCCGCCTTTCGAGAGCAGCAGCTCACGCATACTCCATTATACGATTATTGCATTTCTTTAAGACTGTATACTAATGTCCGTGCTTAATTCTTCAAGACTGACTGACCTTCACCCCTGAATTCAGATTTGCATCATAGCGCCGTATATTGTATTCATTTACAATGTGTAAGATATGCTACGGATCGAATGAATTATGTAAATCTCACCATTTTGAGGCCCTCAGTATATCAAAGATGACGTTAGATTGACAATGAAGTGATGAAACCAATGTTCGTCCTGCTTAAAATTAAACCATGTGGAAGGCTCTTACTTGGTGCTTCCCATCCTCCTGCTGCTGCTGTCTTTGAAGAAAGCTGAGGCCACACACACAAAGCGCCGCAATGCTTTTAGCTCAAATTCTGAGCCGGGGGGGAGGGGCCCACAATGTGTCACGGCTCATATAAGGTTTGGAAACAAGGCCCCTTCCTTTGCCTCATGGCCTGCCCTTTGAACATACACCTGTATTGCTATGTCAGTAAAACAAGCGAAACCACCGATACATCGTATTCCCCTTGCACCAGTTGACGACAACATCATTCATCTCGAGGGCATATCTCGTTTCGGTAGTCTCAGCTGCAACACCACGAGAGTAATCAAATAAAGGAGTTTTTTTTTATTAACGAATTGTGTTTGTAACCACAATGGCCGAGGGAATGTTGTCCTTTTTTTGCTCCATACCTTTGATTTTGTAGTTCTCCAGCCTCCTGATTCTTGCTGTCTTGGGGAATAAGCATAACTCTCTATGGATTTCAAGACATTGCCTTTATCCGCCGCAGTTTTTTTCTCTGGAAGGGGCTCCTACGTAATCCAACAGAAGGCCTTCTTATTACTTACTCATACGATGAATTGATCTAAACCAAAATCTTTCCAAATGATTAGAGAAAGCAACATCTAGGAGGATTTCCAATACAGAATTCTTTCTTTCCAGTTATAAGCTAAGATCTGGTTTATGGAAATGATCTAAGGTTCATTATTCAGAGTACCCTTCCAGATTTTACAATTTACTCTTTAGTTGTTTCATGATTCTCTTTACTTCTCAACTGGAAAGATTAACCGTGTCCCCTCTGATTTAACAGTAGACACTAAGGAGCCAAACAATGGCAGTAGCAGACGAGAGATTGAGAGCATACCTTTTCCTTCTCAACGTATTCCTGGGTTGCTATAGAGTTCCCAACTTCTAGGCGATCGGAAAAGAATAATATCTGCAGATGAGCAAAATTATGATCAAAGGTAATAAAGAACTGTAGAAGATGGGACCAAAATCAGTTAATAAATTCTTAGCACTCATGGGATTAGGGTTTAGCTTACTTTGCTCAGCAACTGGACATTTGATGAATCAGTTGCCATGACCTGCACTCCAAGGCAGTTGTCTGGGTTACTACAAAAGGGACAGAAGATATTGTTGAAGACACATCCATCTTGCTCGCACCAAATACCCTGTCCTGCTCCTTCCAGTGTTCTTCTACAGACTCGCTGATCAACTGATGAACTGTCGGTCACGAGAACTGAAACACTTGTTGGCATATCTGTTTTTTCGGTCGTTTCTTTCAGGAGAGACAGCAAGTATGTCTTGAATGATGAAGTCAAGGAGCAATTGAGATATAAATGACTCTCGGGACAACCTAAAGGGCTTCTGCAGAGTGAACAAGATACCTGTAATCTCTGATCCACCATTGGAACAGTAGATGATATATTATTGTTCACTTCGACTTTCCGTAGAACATTTGACCTCTGTCGTAATTGTTCAACAGAGGTACCCTCAAGCCCGTACTCGATTCTTCTCGTAAAACTCATGCAATCTGGAGGTCCAGCATTGGTTGCACCATGGTTTTCGTCCTCAACGAGATCAATAAATGGTGAGCTGCTGGGCTTTCTCCTCTTTGAAGTACGAGAATTCACACTCATGCTCAAAGATGACTCGGATTCTTGTATCATGTTGCGAATGTTACCAGTAGAATATCTTTCGGGAGTGACTACGGCCGCAGACTCGGTTATAAGAGGAGATTTTATGAAACTTGTGGCAGATAGATGGTGCTCTAAAAATCGACCAGGGGACCCCGCAGATGTCTGAGCTATTGTAGGACTAGGACTTCCATATGTCAATGGTGAACATGGACTAGCTGCAGAAGTACCATTGATCATGCTAGGGGTTTCCCTAACAAAAGATGCTTCTGGATCCTCACCACAATCGGTCATTGACGATGCCTCACAATACCTGCAGTTAACAATTTTTAGCTCCATATGGGCTTTGAGTGTGTGGCAACCATAATGTTGCATAGTTTAGATGTAAAATTTTCATGCGTTCTAGTTCTTGTGCTCAAAAGCGTAATTTGAAAATCATGATACAGTTTGGTCCTATGGTCCTATGCTGGAGATGGCAATAGTACGAATCTAAATTCCAAAAGTACTACACGAAAATTGTCTTGCATGTTACCTGGGATCTTCTTGGAAACCATGATCTACATCAATGAATTCTTTGCAACATTCTGTCTCCTTTTTAGCTTGCAAAAATTTCTGGGCAGGTTTATCACCTAGAGAAGCTAGTTGGGAGACGGAGGTTCCATATTTAGAAATAGAAGCTTGCACGAATCTCAAATGCTCAGTCAATTTTGGTTTCTCATTTCTTTGCTCTAAAATTTTCTTGCTTTCAATCACAGAAGAATCTTTTGGCTCCACATTCGTGTACTCCTCTACATCAATCACCTTCCTACCTGAAATGTCCTGCCAAAAAGATTCATGAACACCTAAGTGAGGTCAATAGAAATCTTCACAGGACAGAAAAAAAAAGCAGCGATTTTTTGTTTTCAGAATGTACTTTTGGTTCACAGAGACTAAATTTGTCCAACTTCTGATTTTCCTTTCTTCTGCACTCTTTGCTTTGGTTTACTGAGGGAGATTTCTCTTCAGCAATAGGATCTTGGGAGCTTACCATCTTACCATTAACTCGTTCCTGCAGGATATTTTCGAAGAATTTAAAATAATTATGTACATTCGTCAATGATTTGGAGGGCTCAAAAGAATGAGAGATCCGGACCTTGACATTGTCGAAAAAGGATCTCAACCCTTCCAAGGACGTGTCAAAGTTTTCATACTGTTTGATAGACTGTCTAAGCCACTTTGAAATGTGTGATCTAATCCTTTCTTCTCTGTACCGCTCATCTGGACACCAAAACAAGGTTATCTTGAGCATGACAGCTAGAGATTGAACAAAAACATTGCTATACTGGAACTTAGCATTCCCTGTTCGTCACAAAGCCAATGTTGTACAACATAAGATATAAAATCAGTTGAACTTTCTACAACAAGAAACATGTAAGTGTTATCTTCATTTGTAGAGGTTGATTGAAAAATTTCACCAAAAAAAAAAATCATTGTTAATGGACAGTTCAAGAAACCACAGGAACGTGAACCAGAAGACAACATTGACTGTCAAATAGAGAAGAAACTACACACCAATAATGCAGACACCACATTACCTAATAAAATGACGGCACCATAATCAAATCTATGCCGGATACAGCGCCCTGATCAAAAGATCAAAAGATAAGGCTTATTAGTCCCAAAGTTAGGTGTGCAAACATGATCATAGAAAAAGGAAAAGAAATAAGCTGCTATAGTATAAAAAAAATGACTGTTCAAAAAGTTGTGACTCATTCCAACATACCTGCTGCTTGATTTAGAGCTCGGAAAGCCTGGTGGCAGTACCAGTCACTTCCTCCAAGAAGGTTTTTGGATGTTTTGTACGTATCGTTATATTTCTTCTTTAACCCGACTTGAATATCGTTTCTAATAAGTGACATTATGAGAAAATTATTGCCCCAAAATTGGATCCAGTAATGATACTAGATGAGTTTGGTGAGCTAGAGTTCTTACATGTTTGGAAACGGAATGCCAACGATTATCTGTAATGATCAAGGATTAACAATGCATTCTTAAGACAATTCAACGAGGGGAAGTTCAACTTTTCAAAAGTATTAAGCATAATGAGATTAGCAAATATTAGAGTTGAAAAGTATACCACTGCCCTGGCATTGTCATCGGCAAAGTCAATTCCTTCTGAAACCTGTGATAGAAACATGTAGTTTTAGTATATTAGAATCTCAAGCCATAAGTTTTAATTTTACGTTTCCTCTGTGAAGGTAGGGTGCTGTAGTGTTACATAAGATCAAACCACTTTGCATCTCCTTAGATGGAATTGTCCCCTTAAAGGGAAGAGATGAAATATTGAAAACAAAGACAACTTACAAACCTTTCCTCTACAGACAGCAAGAAATGCGGCTCCTTTCTTGGATCCATCTTGAGTCTCAGTCGTATCAGGCCCTGTTTTCTTAGCCTTTTTCTTTCTTCCAATCGAGGGTTTGTTTTTTCCACGTATAGCATCATAATAACCCTTCAGAACTGGCTCAAACTTTTCCTGGGCTCCACCTCTTGGCTCTGCAACCAGGGGAGTGTACTAAACTTGTCAATAAAGGAAATCACGAAGACGTATCATCACCAGATTTGTCACAACAGCCTTTACATGACTACTGAAGAGTGATGCAGTGTACCAATAAAAAGGGTCTTTTTCAAGCTGAGCCGAGACCATTGTCCAGTTTCCTGCCAACGACTGCACAGTTTTTCCATCAACTTATAACTTGGGAAGAATACAAGAGAGCCACCTGGTACAATTGTACAAATTTCTTCCAAGGCTTTGCCTAGAGCATCCTTCAAAGCAAAATAGAGAATTGCATTTTGAAATACAATATTATAACTTATTTCCAAGCAAGAAAATACTCAGAAAGCAATGAATCAGCAGCAATACCTGGAATGAGTATGCACCAGCTGTTTTATAACTTGCATTTAGAGGATAATTATCAGGACCATTGAAGATTGCAGAAGCCCACACCTGATGTATAGAGGTTAAACCATAGACCGAGTTATGAAATGTTGCTGAAGTTAAGCTCATAAGCTCCAAACCAGTACCTGTGAATCGATGTCAATCACATGTGGAGCCTCTAAACAAGAGCCAAACTGCATTCCGAGTTCAGATGAGAAAGAATCCATCGGTGACAAAGTCCTATACAACAAACAAGAAAACCAAGATTAGTCCTTACTGAAAGAGATGATGCATACCTAGTCGCATTTAATAACTAAATTTTAGCAAATAACTGATGAATATAAAAAGAGAAAGCTAGCACACGCCCATGCATAGACATGGTGCCGTAATGCAAATAGGATCATGAGCAAAGTTAAGTGGTCAATCCTAATTTAAAGAAAACTTGAGAACAATTGTCTCCATCCTTTGATAAGGCTAGAGAACATAGTTTATTGACATGTTCATGGTTTTAAACAAGTCTGCGGAGCTTTTTAAGTTTGTTGGTCTAAGCTACTCTGGACAAGATAATATTATTCTTCAATACCAGATATAGGCTTTGCAGAAAGCCGAAAACCTGCTCACCCAGATGTTAAAATGATTGACATAGAGAGATCAGCAAGATCTTTGAAAACAACAGACGGATTCATGCACCATAAGCTGAAGGTATGCGTCCATGTTTTAAGAGGATCTCCTGCATCCACAGAAGTGAAAGGGTAAATACTTTCTCAAGGGGTTTTCCAAGTGAGCAAAATTTACCACGCTCTGAGGTAAATACTGCACCATCAGCAACTTATTTTCACCTCTTTTCATATAACGTTGTAAACCCAGCTGGTAGTCAAGGATGTGACTTCCATTTCTTGAAAAGAAATATGTAAGGGAAGCGAACAATGCTGCATGGAAAGCATGAAAAAAGCTCTTTTATCCTCAAGTTCAATCGGGTTGCATATGAGAAATATCCTAGTACAGTTAGTAGGAAACTCAATACCTTCCAATGTTAAGACAGATATCCCACTCAAATGAGGCACGTTTGGCTCCGTCTCTGCTTCCTTTGACGCTCTGATTGCCTTGAGAAGAAAATTCGATATCGCGTTTAAGCAATGCAAAATGCACCTAGGCCCGGGTAAAGAACATTGAAGAAACGAAACTACCTTTGTGGCACATTCAAGTAAGATAGGGAAGCACTCTTGAGTAATATTACATCCCTGGAGCTCTCTTAAAGCATTATTTCCAGTCCAGCTGTCACAAAAATTGAGGCCTTTAAAGTCATGAAACATGTAACAATCTTTTGAAGTAATGATGAAGAATCTAAATGTACCTGGAGAAATAGTGTTGAAAATCGCGTTTTGCTAGAAAATCTTTGTTTCGTCCTATCCAGCTTATCAACCCCTAAATAGTTTAGAAGATTCAACGATGAAGCAAACAGTCGGCAATGACACCTCCAAATAATCTTGTAGTCAATGACTTACCTCTACTATCTCATACAGGGGCTGATATGTCATTGGTTGCACCAAGCTCATCTGCTCCAGTTCACTCTGCAATTCTTCATAATGTGTAACCACATAAGTGGAGGTAAAATTAGATAATCTAAAGCTAAGAATAGCTTTTATGTATACATACTGAATAGAGTATCTTCTTCAATGTTACTGCTACCAGCATCACGAGCAATGTCTTCCATATTGCTGTTAGCAAACATACGTATGCTCAAACCTTTGCATATTCCATTCTAATAATATAAAACCAAAATATTTGTAGTAACTATGTAAGAAGGTTCTGAAGCTTACTGAGCTTCATCAAAAATTATAATTGCTCCTTTCAAATCTACTTCAACTCCAGCTCGAACGACAGGATTAATTATGTAGGAGTAAGGGCAAAATACCAATTGTGCGTCACCAGACATTGACCATGCTGCATAATATGGGCAGCCTAAAAAAGGAAAGGAAATTCTTCAGTGATAGTCACGAGATCTTCAATAGCAGCCTAAAAATAAACTAACCAAAGCTGACCTTTCACATTTTTTCCAATTTTCACAAGATCTTCGATATCATGAACCTCATTATAACCTCCCTTCTGAAGTGATGGATGGCCTGTGACTTTATGGACATTCCTGGAGGTCAAAGAAGAACAATAACGCAATGGGATGAGCTGAGAGCAAGAAAACGTAAATAACTTAAATGATCAAGAAAGAACTCACTTGAACTCAGGACATTGTATGTTTTGCTTATCTTTAAGGAGCAGCCGGCTGGAAAGTTTCAACAGAATGATTTATCAGGTCAAGGAAGCAATTTGGTGCAGAAAAATTGCCAATTTGAGAATGAAACTTACCACTCGTCATCCACATTCTCTTTCCC